TTTGGTTCAGATCTGGTTCAGTTTATGGTTCAAGAATGATCCTTGAAAATATGATTTTCTAAATAGGGAATGTGATTCCCAGTTGAAGGGAGAGAAAAAATTTTAGAAATTCGCCCCCTTATTCCGCAATCTTTGGGCGTCCATACGATGGATCTCTCATCCCTTCACTTACAACAAAGTTTTGTACAGTCTAAGGATCACAGCCAATGATACAGCAAATAAACACCAAAAAGACCAAAAACCAGCTACACTTGAAGGGACACTGCCCATTTTCTTTTTTCTTTTTCTCTTTCTTGATAACAAGAATTCTATTAATAAAAAATTTAAAAAAGTACAAAGCTAAAATAACATTGGGAGGGAAATATCCTCAACTGTGTTTACAGTCTCTTTCATTTAAAATTTAGTTTATCCATTAGTTTTCTAAAGTTTTAAAACATTTTCATTATAGTTCTTCATTTCTAAAGGCATGGTCTTTGAGATCCAGGTTGAAATACTCCATCAGATTATACAATGATTGACCAACTCGGTTGCCTATGGCCTAGAGAGGAAGAATTATGAGGAAATAGCTATACTCACTGCTACTAGCTAGCGCACTGGAATTCTATCTTTCATATATGAAATACAAGGGGGTCAATTGATGGAAAAGGATTCCCTTGGTTTATTTTAGATATTTTGGGGATGTGTATATATTACCTATGATACTCAAACATCTATACATGCCTAGCATACCAGTATTGTATCAGATACGTATCGGATGTGATACCAAATACTGCAAGGATACTTCAAGATGCAATCTATAGCAACTAATGAAAGGAAGGCTAGATCCATCATATGGATGGCCGAACCATGCTAGATCGTTGGGCGAATTTTCAAAAATTTCTTGCAACCTTCCGGGAATCGCATTCCTAGTTTTAACCAAAAGAAAGGGAGAAGTATACCTTATATGGATTCCACAAGTGTAGCTCCTAAAGTGGTAGTTCACACCCAAAGTGAGTCCGAAAACCAGCTTCCACTGAAGATGGCGCAGCTTGAATTAAAGCTGGTTCAGCAACACAGTTTTCAGCAAAACTGTAATCCAACACCTTGGATTGAACAAGGGAGGTGAGCACAAATTGGTTTTGATGTTTTCTTGCAAAAATCAGAAGTCAGAACTAATCAAGATCAGTCCAAGAACTAGAAGTCGAACTAGGGTTTCTGGAGCGGCAAGAGCGGAGAGAAAGAACTGAAAGCAGACTGATAACTGGAGCAGTTCGATCTCCCCTTTTTATAAGCCTTAAGGAGCACCTCTCCTAATCGAATTAGGAGCTTCCTAATCCAAATCTTTATTTGGATTTGGACTCTTTATGTGGATAAGACTATTCCTCTTATCCTAATAGGTGCTCCATTCCCTTATCCAAACCTAGATTTGCCCAAGTCACATGCTGTCATGTGACCACTTGAAATTAATCATGGGCTTTAGGCCCATTAAGCAAGTGGCTCACGTCCCTAGGTAGTTGCTGGCCCATTTGGTTCATTTTGTATGGTGTGGGACCCCAACAATGACCTTACATAAGCCCATATGGGTTCGGACCAGCCTCTATGATGCTTGGACGAATTTACTGTCAAGTACAGTGAACTCCTGAGTCCATCAGTATGGGCTCTTAATGGGCCCAACAATTACATTAAATGATCATTCATTATCCTATGAAGGCCCAAGGATAATGAACTTAAGTAAGATATAGCCCATCAGGTAAATATCCCTAAATGGTCTCTTACACTTAACCTCTCAGCCCTTAATGATCAAACACTGCCCGACAGGGAAGGACCTCTCCCCTAGTTGCAAGGTGCAGTGTCGCACTCTCTACTCGGATGAGTCCCAGGAATTAAAACCTTTTGCAAACATCTTTTCTTAAAACATAATATATATATATATATATATATATATATTATCATAAATATATTTTGCAAAACAAATCTCAAACACGGTTGAAATCGATTGCTTATCTTAGTGCCATCAAGATTGCCTCTAATCCAGTCTTCTATGAGCACACCAAACACATAGAGGTTGATTGTCACTTCATTAGAGACCAATTTCTTGCTAGGCACATATCTCTTCCTCATTTCTCCTCCAGTCTTCGGTTGATTGACCTTTTCACTAGGGCTATGGCACGGGCTTGTCATCAATTCTTAGTTGACAAACTGATGCTTACCTCTCAGCATTAGTTTAAGGGGGGCATAGAGATCACATATCATAACCTTGGGAGTATAGTTATATCATATATCATATGTAATGTATTTGCTCTTTTTCTTTCTATGTTCTTAGAAAGGGCAGATTTGTCCATTCATCTTCTTGTATCAATCTAATATAAATACAGTTCTTTCTTGGGCATGTTTGACAGAGAACACACCCAATATTCAACCCTAATATGCTCTCTCTCGTGCTGTTTGACAACCAAAACCTTCTTGCCATTCTTGTACATGGCCACAACCCAAACCCAACCCCTCCTCAATCCCATCATTTTTATTTCTTTTTCCTCTTCAACATAAGACACAAGTCCCTAGAACTTGGTTCCCTTTCTTTCCAATACTGCCCTTATTAACCTTCGCGACCCTTAAGCTTCCCCTTAGAATACTACCCACATGCCTTTTTGCATAACTCTCTACCATGTGGGCCCCAACCCTCACATTCCCCATTATCGAGACTCACCCCCTCCTGTTTATTTTATACACATATATATATGATATAGAATATTACATAATACATTTTTCGCTACTAATATTATTATTACATAATATTATATAATATATATTATATTTTTTATTATGCATATTGTAGAGATATTGGGCCGAATAGGCCCTAGTATCTTTTCTTGTAGTATGTTATTTATTTATTTGTTAGTTAATGGGCCTATCTTTATGGGCCCT